CAAAAACCGTTCATCGAAAATGCGTCAAGTTAGAACTTGTCCGAGATCTTATCAATTCCAATGATCACAATAAGTTTCATCAGAATAGGTTGAAAACTGTAGCTTGAATCCCGCTCACAAACTATTTTTAACAAATTTCGACACGTTTTAACAAAGTCAAGGGCAATAACTCAAAAACCGTTCATCGAAAATGCGCCAAGTTAGAACTTGTCAGAAATCTTATGAATTCTAATGATCACACCAAGTTTCATCAGAATCGGTTGAAAACTGTAGCTTCAATCCTGCTCACGAACAATTTTTAACAAATTTCAAGGCGTTCTAAGTTAAGGGCAATATCTCACAAGTGCTCACAAGAAATGTTGACAGACGGACCGACGGACAGGGGCGACGACAATATACAACCACATATTCATGTGGGCGTATAAAAATACTACTTGAAACTTGTACTCTGACCTATGCATGCGCCACTATAACATTTCAACAGATTATTTTCTAGCTAATTCTTTAAGAGTGTTATTTGTGACATGGATATATCAAATATATCTATATATGAATAATGCTAGCAAAAATATAAATTATGTATAAGAATGTACACGTATGACAGTTGACTAAGCTGGGTTAAAATGCAAGAATTTAAGGGGATTGTAAAGAGATTTTTAAATTTTCTATGTGTATCTGGGACACTGATAGCATCGATTTGCACCATTCCAATTTTCAATCAGACTTCTGTGGTTCCTGCAATTCCATTTAGATTAGACGTTTTATGGCTTCAGATTCGAATCGGAGACAAAAATCTCAGATCAATACCGCTTGTGTGCCTGCACTTTCATATATTGTCTGATTTTCCTGCATTTACTATTCATACTTCAATATATACTTAGTTATAACAGTTGTATGAATGAACATCAAAATAGAATGTCCTTTAAAGACCTTTAACTATAATAGGCATGTATGAACATGTTGAAACTTTCTTATCTGTAATATAAGTAGTTAAATATTAGAAAGTTATTTGTTTTATAGTACAAAGACTTTATATTGTGTCAATACTGATACCTCTATAATCACTTCATATATATTATATATACATACCAACATATCCAGGAGTGTCCTTTATAACTTTGATTGTCAAATATATTTAAATACTCATTGTTCTTTATCTTATTATGCTCGTCAAGCTGCTTACAGATACATCTTGAGTGATCTGTGCATATTATATCTTGAGCTTATACAATTAAAGATGGGTTCCCTTATTTTCATTTATGAAAATGGAAATACTAATACTTAAATGAATAGAAACTAGGTGTTCTAATGACTTGGAAAAATACCAGTTTGTCTCACATGTCCATAATTAATTCATAATTAGGTAAATAAGAAGAGAATTACCAACAGAATTCCAATGAGTGACCGATCAAGAAAGGTCAAAAAGTCTTTTTTTGTTTATCCAGACTGTACATTCATGGACATTTATGATTGGTTATAATTATCTTAATTATATGCAATAAGAACAAAATGATGTGATTAAGAATACATGATATTGATAATTCATTAGAAACACCAATTAATCAAATAGTTTGCTTAATTTGACACTAAAAAATAAGGAAACCCATCTTTAAGATAGAGTAAAAGCTTCATTCATAACCAGAACTCTATCATATTCATCAGTCAATTTTTCCTAAGTTTGGGTTTTTATTTAAAGGAATAAGCTTACTACCTCTTAGAATGGACATAAAATTTAAAGTCTTAAACTTGGTCAATAAGAGTATATATTCATCAGTTGGACTTACCAGGTGCCATAAACGTGATATATCCTTTAAACTCTAAGTAATTATTGAAAAATGATTTTAGGCGTGTTTCAAAATTACTTAGTTTTATGGATTATATAGAGATTATGTCACAAAATCACTGATGAACAAAGACTCATTTCAGCCAAAGTAGTGTTATAATACCTTTAACACATCTTAAAGGAAATATGACAAGTTTGCTCTGGAACATGCCTAAAAACAAGAACTGTAAATATGATATCACATATATACCCATCAGCTGAACAAAATAATATAAAAGTGAAAAAAAAGAAAAAAAAGAGAAATATAGCCAGCGGTATTTTATGCATATCTTCTGTTAATCTTCTGAAACTCTCTGATAGATGATCAAAGAGGGACTCTACCATGTCTACTAACACATTATCAACATAGACTTGAACAAAATACTAAAAATAATCGTTTCAACGGCAAGTTTTATTAATATTAGGTGGACAAACTTTAAGCATGTTAAGCATAAATTCATATTCACTTTTAAAACGATTTGTTGTCAAATTTTTTACGAGGAAGTCATGCAAGCTTGTCTATAATAGTAGTAAAATGGCAAATGACTATCTTCCCTTCCTTTACAGCTTCTACTTGAATTCAAATTTAAACCGAAACATATGATATACCATTAAAAAGTGACTTGAATCACATCAACTGGGCTTCTAGACTTGTTAGTATCTAAGACATCACTAGGATGCGTGAGGCAGACCTAATTAAAGATCAGCTTGGTTGCACAGTTTGTTTGAGATTGTCTTTTTTTGCAGTTTTTGCACTGCAGATATAATTTTTTTCTGCCTTACCCCTTTAAAATAAATTAATCAGGAATATATTCCTGTATTTCAATATAGATCCTTGAAGCAGATAGACCAGTTGCAAATTCATTTTTCGATTAATGGCTAGGTCAACATATGTGCTCAAATCAACTATAAGTACCCCTGGTTCTCTTCTTACATATGAAACGATTCCCGAATAAGAAATGTGGAAGAGAAAATTTATAATCTAGATGATAACAATAAAAGAAAGACAGTTCAAGTTTTGTTTAAAAAGGCTTCATTTATGATTTACAATAAAGAATACAATACCTTATACCAGAATATTCTCATTATCATGAGATCAAAAGATTCTAACTTCAAGTATGTAAGAAAGGGGTGGATTATTTACTATCTGAAAACATGCCTATCTTTTCTCACTATTTCTATATTCACTTTATCAACGAATTCAGAATGTCATAGGCATGTAATGGTGACATGGTAATTTGCCCTGTAATGTTATTACCCCTTCTGTTATATGGTTTCAGCTAAATTCATTCCTCCAAAAACAACATTAACTTGCATCATCAGTGGCCGTAAGGGCTGGGGAAAGAGATGGAGGGGGTCATTCCCAAAGACATGGAAAAAAAAATTCCTGCTGACTTTCCTTAGAATTGATTTGAACCAAAATCCAAAGTTCAGCAGCTACCTCTGTCATAAACCAAAAACTAGATTAAAAAATAAAGGCGATGCTATACCTATATCATTATCATTATCAGACCTCTGGTTATTGCTATGTATAGAACAATAGAGATGTCCTAGAGAACAGCCAATCAGCAATAAGTACGTCACCTATTTATAGTCTACTGTCTATTGCTTGAAAGTTGACGGAGTGGCCACATTTAAAGTTCAATTATTGAAAGACGAGTTCGAAATAAGTAAAAAAATTATGATTTTGTTGATATTTGGAGTGTGCACATTCGAGGGAATTTGGAAAATAACGTAATCATTCAGTGAGTGTAGATTTCGGCTCTGGTGACGTTCGAAGGAAAGACATTGACGCTGTGTAGTGGTCACATTGATCAAACTCAATGAAAAAAGTAGTCCTTAAAGGGGCGGAGCTTATAGTTACATTCTGTTTACACAGATATAAACCGAATTCATGTGACTGCTGTTATCCAATCAAATTGTGTGATACCGTGTAAACGGAATCGTGATTTAATTATAACTTTATAACTGTTATATTTGGTATATAGTTAATAGAAGTGGTTAGCGTCCACTGTCTTATAAAAAGTTTTTACAATTTCAGTGAAAAAAATCCCCACTTTTTTTTATGGAATAAAAGTTATCGCTAGGTACTAATACACAACGTCGCGATACGATACAATAAGCGTATTGTGGTATGTTGTATCGCAATACATTGATTCACCGATATACAGCTATTTAAATAACACTTTAAACAAAAAGAAATTGAATTAATCATATTAAAGGAGTACAACAGAAGTAATATGAATACATGTTTATGACTTTTCCTTTCTAATATTTGACAAAGGTCCAAAAAAAACATATGCAGTCATTCAAATGATTCAAAGAATGCAATCATGTTAATTTCTCCACAATAATGACATATAAACAAATACAAAATACCATTCTTGACCTTAATACACCTATACAAGAACAAATTAACCTAAACAAGACTTTTAGATTTATTTATTTATAAGTATCAAACTACAGTTACAAAGTCATTGGTTTCCAGACATTTTTATAGAGAATGAAAACAAGTGTCAGAGAAACCAATTTTTCTTGTTTGATATGTTTTTTTTTAAGTGTTTGAAACCTTTCAACATGTTATACCATGAATTTCAAAATAAAATTTTGACACAGTTTTGGAAACTCTTGTCTTATAGATGGGTTCCCTTATTTTCATTTATGAACATGATAATGAAAATGCTAATACTTAAATATGAATAGAAAGTACAGATGTTCAAATGACTTGGAAAAATACAAGTTTGTCTCACATGTCCATAATTAATTCATAATTAGCTAAATTAGAAGAGAATTACCAGCAGAATTCCAATGATCAAGAAAGGTCAAAAAGAATTTTTTTGTTTATCCAGACTGTACATACATTGACATTTATGATTGGTTAAACTCTTAATTATATTCAATAAGAACATGATATGATTAAGAATACAAGATAATTCATTAGAAACACCAATTAATCAGTTTGCTATTGGCTATTATGAGTAAATGGTACCAAGCTCTAATTACCAAATCTTCTGCGAGTGTGAACAGCCACCACTTTGACTCTTTGAGGACCCTTTTCAACACTTTTTCATTGGAGGGCTAACTATGACTTCTGTTTAAAATAGGCCATATACGGCACTCAGTATGCTGGTGTGTATAACTATTTTCATTTGGGACAAGAACCTTAAAACGAATGCCATTAAGTCTGAACCCAATCAGCAGTCTGATATGAATGCTGACCTAATCCAGCTTTCAAGTCTGAATATCTGAAAATACCATATTATGATATTATAGAACTGAAAAAGGGAAAATTTGGTTAGATTTGTGAACCCAATCAGCAGTCTGATATGAATGCTGACCTAATCCAGCTTTCAAATCTGAATATCTGAAAATACCATATTATGATATTATAGAACTGAAAAAGGGAAAATTTGGTTAGATTTGTGAATCCAATCAGCAGTCTGATATGAATGCTGACCTAATCCAGCTTTCAAATCGGTAATATTATCTGAAAATACCATATTATGATATTATAGAACTGAAAAAGGGAAAATTTGGTTAGATTTGTGAACCCAATCAGCAGTCTGATATGAATGCTGACCTAATCCAGCTTTCAAATCTGAATATCTGAAAATACCATATTATGATATTATAGAACTGAAAAAGGGAAAATTTGGTTAGATTTGTGAACCCAATCAGCAGTCTGATATGAATGCTGACCTAATTCAGCTTTCAAATCAGTAATATTATCTGAAAATACCATATTATGATATTATAGAGCTGAAAAAGGGAAAATTTGGTTAGATTTGTGAATCCAATCAGCAGTCTGATATGAATGCTGACCTAATCCAGCTTTCAAATCGGTAATATTATCTGAAAATACCATATTATGATATTATAGAGCTGAAAAAGGGAAAATTTGGTTAGATTTGTGAATCCAATCAGCAGTCTGATATGAATGCTGACCTAATCCAGCTTTCAAATCGGTAATATTATCTGAAAATACCATATTATGATATTATAGAGCTGAAAAAGGGAAAATTTTGTTGGATTTCCTAGACATGAATTAAAAACGTAACATATAAATATACTGCCTTACAAATGACCCTATTAAGACTTCTATGTCATGTATTCATTTAATGACTAGTATTATTAATCCTATATAATATGTTTATAATGACTGTATGTATATAATTTACCTTGTATATATATAATATATTATACAGTATACACATACTGTAATTCTAAAGAAATCAAAATATTGTTATATAATACATAATTTATCTATACTTCAGGGAAATGAAATAAAGTTTTATGGCCCACTTAAGTTTCAGTTAAAGAAGAAGGACATTGAAGTGTGCATTATGAAAAATTTTGTTCGAAGATGACAGCATTAGCAAACCCTTTTTCCATTTCTATATATAATGTGTACAGTCTATATCACATGGCTCTCAGTTCATTGTCCCATTCAAATGATTAAACACTTTTTCATGTCAGCTCCTCAGACAGGCATCACTGACAGGGGGGAAACTGGATTGAAACATCTGAAGGTATTATCTCGACCAATGCTAGTATGGAACACTGAATCTGAAGGTTAGCGAGCAAGCATCGGTCCAATTCTCGATCAGTGTGTGATAGACCGATGACCTTGCAGAAGTCATCTTCACTCATAATTCCAGTCAACACAGCTGTAAATGGGTACCGATAATCTAGGAAAGATCAATGCCAAGAGGTTTGGCCAAGGACCAGCTGATAGAAAGGATCCTTAGCTGTGAACCTAAGTTGTTATCCTTGTAAAAAAAAATTGTTTCTTTGTTTCTTTTTTTTCAAACTGACTGAGCTATTACAGCTCAAAAGGGGTAACGCAATCAATCAAGGATCCTTAAGTGGTAAAAAAGAAATGATTGAAAACCTCTTATTTTTTTGGTTATGTTAATAGTTTCTGTTTCAGTTTTAATATACTTTAATAAAACACCAGTCAGACAAGACTGGCAAATAAACAACCCTGATATTATTTGCATCCATAAATAATTGATGAATGTGATTTTGGGTACAATAAACCTACTAGGGTATGTTAGTAATGTGTAATGTTAACATAAGTGACTAGTAAAATAACTAACTATGTGACATGTCAAGTGCTAGAAGATTAACAATCTTGTATTGTTGATTTAAAAGATTAACATTGATTATATATTTAAACGTAATGTTTAAACTCATTTATTTCCCTTTCACATTTTAAACTTTAAATCTCAGTTTTAACCAATCTAGTTTAACTCTGAAAGGGATGCAGATAATTTAATTTAAGCTCTATTAATGGGGCAGTCTGATTTTATAAGTAGGTGCCCAAATCAATGAAGATTATAGATCAAATTCTATAGAAAGCTGTCACTAAGCTTAGCTAAAACTTTTAACCAAAAAATATTTGCTGTTAATTTAAGAACATTACAACCATTTGAATGGTCCATAAACTTTTTCAAATTGTTATCTGTTATTCTTTACAACATTTTTAATATTAAGAATTTACTGCACCTTTAACTAGTAAAGCAATTAATTACATGGCTATATTTTTGTATACTTTAATTTTGTTTGTATGGTTTTTTAATTCAGGTTTTACCAAAACATTCAAAAATGGTGACCCGTATAACCTAGCCATACAGGAACATGGTGAAAGTAAATTTATATAGTGAATCAGAAAATCTCCATTAAAATAACTTCCTCACAACCTATACAAATTTTATACTGTTACACCTTTTAATGTTTCTACCAAGACAACTGTGATAATACACTGTACTAAATATATCATCAATTTAAGAAGGAAAAGTGTCACAAAAATATAGATTTATCAAACTTAGTGTTTGATGAGGTCACTAATCGTGGAGGCCTTATGTGATACAAGCATATTTCATCAGTGTCCCTGATTATTATGATCTTTTTTAGAAAGCCTCTTTCAATTCCTTACATTTTCACATTTCTAGTTTGGCTTGCTGTTCTCTATATACAACTACTTACAAATTATACATGTATAGGATTTTTGAATTATCTGCTACTTGATATTCAAAACTGATTTCAGAACAAAATTCACCGCAGCTTTTAAATACATGATATATAAATCAAATCAGTATCGATTTATAAAGCTCAGAAAATGAAATGAAATGAATGGAGTTTTACGTCCTACTTTTCTGCACCATGTGGGCTAATGAAGACAGGCAACTCCATGCAGGGTGCAATGAGGGAAATTTTGCCAGGACAGCAGCATTAGCCTGTTCTTTTTCGATTTCCAACTGTCCTTAACGTACACAGCCTGTAGCACACGGGGCCTCGGTTTATTGTCTCATCTGAACAACTAGACACTTTTTCCATGTCTTATCTGCATCACTGACAGGGGGGAACCAGGTTGAAAAATCTGAAGGTATTTATAAAGCTCAGAGGGAATATAATAACTTATAATAACATAACAAGGTATATGAACTTTTTAAAGGGTCAAAAAACTTGAAAACCTATTCACAGAGTAGACTCAAGTGTTCCAGAAGGTTGAGCATATACTGTGTTGCTTACCACACCCACCAGAATAATAACTGTAGTGGAGAGAAAAATACACTAATTTATACATTTGACTACATCATGAAAATTGATATCAGCTAAATCACTTAGATATATAGTGATATGATAAAACACTACTGATATTAATATATCATTGTATAATAATGACCGGTCAATGTATTAATATTACATGTTTATCAAGGACATTAAAATAACATTAAATAACAATCTGTAGAAGCCAGACAATTCCTTAATTCAATAGTCTCTTCCAAAATATGGCACAATATGTTTGTAGCTTTGTTATTTACATGACGTCATTTGCTTTATTAATTCAAACAAATGGTGGTTGTGGGTTTTAATTTCAGCTGACGTCTGAAAGCACAGTGACCTTGAATAAGTCATCTTCACTCATAACTGCAGTCACCCAACTGATAATCTGGTAAAGATCAATGCCAAGAGGTTTGATCAAGGATCAGCTGGTAGAAAAGGTCACCTGTGAACCTAAATTGTAAAATATAATTGTTTTTCTTTCTTGTCAATCCAATAACAGGAAGAAGGTGAAAATACACCATCTTACATGATCCTAACACTTCTGACATGACAGGGACATGTTCTGTATGAATTCAGAGAGACAAGTCAAGAAATGACCAGTTCAAAATCAGAAATCATTTTCAAATTATGATACCTTTTATTCAACATCAAACAATGTTAAGTTTACCACCTTAATCTCTTGCACTCAAAAAAAGAGAAAATTTACTGCAATTGCCCTTAAACCATATTGATAAAAGTAACTTATCTGGCCACTAAACAAGTTAGCTATTAATACTTGTACAAGCTATGGTAGCAGTTCTCAAGGACATTGTCAAGATCAAAAGGAAATGATACATGTGTAAGTGTATGATAACTCATGAAATTTAAAGATATTGATTATGAAGTAGTCATATATAACCTTATATTTGTATGTAATATCAATTTGACTGTTATTTAAATGTGCTGTTAACCAGTTTTGTAGCTTTTTAAATGTGTATTAGGGCCATTGATGGCTTCAAGTTGCAATAATCCATTTTTCTGTCAAATGTCTGTGGTTCTTGTAATTATAGAAATACTTGACTGTATATGACATCACTATTGAAAATTCTGGTTATCTCGCGGCTTTTACAATATCTACATCAGTTCTAGTGAAATTGCAAGAATCACAGATGTCTGATTGAAAATTGGAAAGGTGAATATTGATGCTATCAGTGTCTCCGATACACATGAAAAATTTAGAAAACCTTTTCACAATCCTTTTAAAAGTTTTTATAGACATGTTATATTACTGCAAAGCTGAGATTAAGAGATATGACCCTAGAAACATCAATATTTTAAGATAAGAATTTAAGTTATTGAGGATCACAACCTCTTGGCCTTGATTTTGTTCAGATTATCTGCATGAGATATCAGAGAGAAATATATCATTTATTTTTCTCAACAAAATGTGGGTTGAGAATATCTGTATTGAGGTGTGTGTGTATGTGGTTGTAGGGAGGGAGGAGTGGATAGTACAATTCTTTCTATACCGTCTCCCAGTAGAACTGCTTCAATTGATCATCTGTTAAAAGCGTTTGAATATAGCCCGTGGCCCAGACAAATAGCTTCCATTAAGAGCCTTTAGAGCCTGCGGATAGAGTCTGAGGATAGAGCCCGTGGATAGAGCCTGTGGAAAAGTACTATACTAGACTAGTGTTTAAATGCCAGTAGTTCGTTGAATAAAACAGTATTTATAGTAGTATATATTTAAATAAGAATAGTGAGTTGATATCAACCCACCCAGTTGACTATGATTCATTACATAAATATCCTGTCTTCTTAACACTCTTCTATTGTATATATATATATATATATATATATATATATATTACATCAGCCATATACTCTACTGCTTGTTAATGTACACTTCCTTATTTTGTATTAAGTCATTTATGAAGGAAATTTTAGGAAATTCTATAATGTATCCCTTAAGAAATTTCAAAATTATTAAACAATTGTATGAAACAGTATGACCTTATGGCATAATTGGAGTAGTAAGTTGGGCAAAAGTCCTATCAAAACCATAGTTAGAAGTTGTTTTACAATGGTTAAAATTAAGCTGTTTTCACTGTCTTAGTTTTTAATTACATGAAAACTTGTTGGTTTTACAATGTTCTGGGTCAAAATATAAAATTGTCCTTATGATGAAAAACATAAAATTTCACACATTTTTGTCTTTATAATTTTCTTTAAACATTTTCAATTTATAGTGATTCATGTTATGTTTTGAATTAAAGGGTTGTCAAGAGGTTTTCTAAATTTTTTATGTGTATTGGGGACACTGATAGCATCGATTTACACCATTCCACTTTTCAATCAGATGCAATTCCACTAAAAATAACGCGTTTTACTAGATGGGAGCTACCGGAAGAAACTATTAATATCTATGCAGTTCCTCTAGATATCGTAAAACGTCATAAAACGTGTTAATTTTTTGGGAATTGCAAGAACCACAGACGTCAGAATGAAAATTGGAATGGTGCAAATTGATGCTATTAGTATTCCTGATACCCTTAAAAAGTTTAGAAAAACTCTTGACAATCCCTTTAATACAATAATATATCTTCAAAATTTTCATTTAAAAAGAAGTTATGGACTTGCAATTTCATTTAAAAATCTAAAACCAGTCTATAAAGTCAAATACTTGTAATGAAGGACTTATTTTAATCAACTCTCTCTATCCCGAAATCTAACCTTGATAAGAAACTTGTTGAATATGAAGATGTTGACAAAGTAAAGATATCACTAAGATTATTTACTGTTCACTAACAATATTTGATAATATACTGTATAAGTATACTAAGTCAATAAGGGCCCTGGCTAAACACATCATAAATAACAAATGGGAGTATTTTATATAGGTCATCTGAATATTCTAGAAATAGGGGACACAGAGGTCAAAAAGTTTCAAAGTCATTTATTGGCAATAAATTTTGTGGTTTGTCTTCATGAGTATGTCTTTGTGGAGTATATTTGTTGATTTGCATATTTTCAATTACATACAACCTAAGAAATCCATGGGAATCAATTCACCAGAAATAAACAAGATTAAAAAGGCAATCATCAGTAAAATTGATCAAATGAATTATTAATAAGACCATGATCTTAAAGACTTAAGCTAGAAATCAATTTCCAACTAAAGATCACAAGTCAATTTCACCATCTTAAATGAAAATATTTCTTTCAAAAAAGAAAATCAAACTTTAGAACATACTCTTCTTACAGCCTTGCAAAACTAAGGCTATTTCAAAATAAATTTCCATTACTATTTACTAAAGCCTTCAATTTCTGGCAAGTTCAAAGAAGTTTCTTGGCAAATAATGAACAGGACTAAGAGAGTTATCTCCCATTTACCAAGTAAAATAATTGTGAGAGGTTTCAAAGTAACAGAAGCTCTTGTTTAGAATTCTGACAAGAAGAAGCTTGCCTTAAACAATAAATTTCACAAACTATGGATTTTGAAAAAAAATTTCTGAAGAAAGTAGTTGTACTCTTGTAGGTTGTAAAGGAATGTATAATTTGATTGTGATGAAGGATATTTAGACTGTTAGGTACAACTGTTTGCAATTGATCAATTCAGAAACTCTGCCTTTGTAATTCCTCGGTAAATACAGATGAAGATGATCTTCAAATGATTGATTGGGTAAGATTTACAATAGCTCTATCTTTCTAATGGATTATATCAAAACAATGCCAGCTGTAGGTAATACCCAATGTGTTATGGGTTTTGCTAACATATATAATTGCACATTTTTTTTAGGTTCAGTGACCTCAGGTTGGTCATTATATGGTAACGAAAAAATGTTATAATAAGGAATGCCAAGTCTGACTGTCTATTTCTACAGAAAATTTCCCTGATTGAAAATTAAAACTACCCATTACTAGTATATTTTACTTGTTACATTATCCTGTTAAAAGGGCGTTTTCGTTGTAGATCTTTTTTCAGGTATTTTTGATAATGAAGGTTTTTTTGTACTGTAACTTTAAATTCATTGAATACACTAAGGTTTCTGTAGATGAAGAATAAATTATATTAGCTATAAAACACAGATATCATCCTGGAATTCCCAATAACACTTTAAGAATTTGTTATGTATATGAGAAAAGTATGGAGGTCAATCGCATTCAGAATTAGATGCTATGTACTTATGTCTAATACATACGACACGATACATCTGTGCAATGTTCAAAAACAAAATACCTCTTTTACTTATGTCATAATACGTCTAATTCATAATGCAAATGTTAAATTACATAAAACCACCGACACAATACCTAAAATGATACGTGCAATGTCCATTTTTGTCCAAATTATAGACAAAAATCAATGATAAACAAGGTTTCTAATTATACAGTTGAATAATGATGTAAAATAAATTAGTGGTCAGTGTCCATCACAGAGTTCCGTGGGGAGAAGTTATTGTGTATAATTTAATATTGCTGATAGGCTCCGCCCACAAGTCACAAAAAGATAATGCAGTCGAGATAAAACACGTTCGCTAATGCAATGTAGGAGATACTAAGACGAAGATGTAATGTAACTAGTGCAATGTAAAAGACGCAAAGACAATTATGCTTTGTTCAATGTACAATGTCGAAAGTGAAAGGACATTGCACGTATCATTTTAGGTATTGTGTTGGTGGTTTTATGTAATTTAACATTTGCATTATGAATTAGACGTATTATGACATAAGTAAAAGAGGTATTTTGTCTTTGAACATTGCACAGATGTATCGTGTCATATGTATTAGACATAAGTACATAGCATCTAATTCTGAATGCGATTGACCTCCAAGAAAACGACCGTGTTGTCTAAATTTGACTGACCTTTTTAACTGTAAACATCTGTGTGCCAGTGTATATATGGCTTGAGGTAATGATATACTAGGTTTCTCTATAAAATATGATAACTGTAGTGGATTAGTGCTATCTTGTTTTCTGTGATGTCCTTCTGAATCTTCTAGAGCCTATAATTATAGAGATCAGCCATCAACCAGCTTTATAAAAGAAGATTATATCCTAATACGCCCACTTCAGAATGTGGTTGGTTAAACGTGAAATTTTCTCACTTGATCCTATTTTTTTGTCATATAAATACATATTAAGTTTTCTCTAGATTATTAATCAGAAAAGCTCGAATATGAACTTGAGCTTCATTTTAGGTTCATGTATACACATATCAATTTAATGTTTCTATTTGTTGATCATATAGCTGTAATTGTTGATATTGTAATGATAAAAAACTTACTATAATGATAAAGTTTAATGTTTCTAATTGTTGATCATATAGCTGTAATTGTTGATATTGTAATGATAAAAAACTTACTATAATGATAAAGTTTCATGTTTCTAATTGTTGATCATATAGCTGTAATTGTTGATATTGTAATGATAAAAAACTTACTATAATGATAAAGTTTAATGTTTCTAATTGTTGATCATATAGCTGTAATTGTTGATATTGTAATGATAAAAAACTTACTATAATGATAAAGTTTCATGTTTCTAATTGTTGATCATATAGCTGTAATTGTTGATATTGTAATGATAAAAAACTTACTATAATGATAAAGTTTAATGTTTCTATTTGTTGATCATATAGCTGTAATTGTTGATATTGTAATGATAAAAAACTTACTATAATGATAAAGTTTAATGTTTCTAATTGTTGATCATATAGCTGTAATTGTTGATATTGTAATGATAAAAAACTTACTATAATGATAAAGTTTCATGTTTCTAATTGTTGATCATATAGCTGTAATTGTTGATATTGTAATGATAAAAAACTTACTATAATGATAAAGTTTAATGTTTCTAATTGTTGATCATATAGCTGTAATTGTTGATATTGTAATGATATATTATACAATGCTATCAAATTTGAGAAATCTTCCTGTAAAGCCTCTCGATGACTTTCAATGGCTGAATGATTCTTTGCCTGAAATCATAAATTACATCAAATTTAACTATTATAAAAGAAAGTAGACAATATTAAAGGAGAAGGTTAAATACTCAGATAAATTTTGAATGCACCTTATACAATTATAGGCTGTAAAGATTTTGTTAAGAATTCCAATACACGACTAAATGCAAGTCCAGTCTTTAAGTATCATAGGAAAATTAATGAATTATTGACAAATAAATGAATACACAGAAAAGTCTTCGGCCATTGCTATTATCCATTTTTTAAAAACAAAATTGGACTAAGCATTTAAAAAATTCCACTCAGGAATATATGATGCTTCTGTATGTACATGATACAAAGTCTGTAAATCAGCTTGCATATTATTCCACCTTCTTTGATTTTAAGGCATTTTTTATGTCCATGAGAGCAAGATTGTTATTTCAAAAAAGAGCCAAATTAATATTTCAAAATATAATTATTATAAGAAACATAAGGCATAATAACATTGTAAGTGCAGAATAAGAAACTTTTTAAATTTTTCATGTATAGTGACAGGATTTACATTTATTTCATCAATGATTGTACCTTACCTGTTTTGACTGAGCTAATCCTAACAAGTTTAATAAATAAGATTTGATGGAGTATAATATATTTGGTTTATCTATATACAATAGTTTCTGACATATTGCTATCACTTCTTTATAGTTTTTCTTGTCATATAAAACCAATGCTGAAATAATTACATGTATAACAAATTAGCTTCAATTTTTGAATGGAATTTCACTACATCAATGACTTTTGGGCCTTTTTTAAATTTCAAAAATATTGCTCTGAAGATAAACTTAGAAGATGAAGATGAAAAAATGTTGTTTGAATTAAACCAATTTCTAATAATGGAATAAATTTGGTTATATCAAGGTTTAAGGTTAAATCCTGTCAAATATTCATATTGATCTACAGTACAGTGGTGTAACCTATTTTCGTGGATATAAGGATTCAACACCAAATTTCGTCAAAGTTAAAAAAACGAATTTTTTTTTTATGTCTTAGATGTTTCCTCAGATATTCTACAAAATAATTAAATTTGGTTTATTTCGATTTTCTTTATGAATCCTTCACTTTAACCTATATTTCATGAGCAACCAACTCGGCAACGGCGGCAGAATGCGTCACCTATTTTCGTGTACAATGTTTGATCTATAAATAAGTTTAGAAAAACCGGGTGGTATAATTAACTTCTCTTAGTATTTATCTTTAATATCAATTTATTATAACTAGTGACAATTCCTTCAAAGAACCACGATTTAAAAAAAAATAGTGACTGACAAAATAAAATACGTAGCCTGATTTATTGCTAAAAGTCACTGAAATAACATAAGAATATGGTCCACTTTATGTTCCATAGAAATTTTCTGCTGACACGGAATCTGCTAGTTGATCACGTGACTTCATTGTTGGACTACATTCTAGCAGACGACACTGATTACCGCTTGGGATTATAAGAAAATTCGGCCGATAAAAAATGGTGACGTTTGGTAATAAGTGATATCTGCCATTTTGTATTTGTCAAAGTATACATTAATACATTTTACCTTGCTTGAAACTACTGAATTCATTCTACAAGCTGATATTGTAGAGATAACCCATGTTTATCAAAACAAACTAATGTGGAGGTTGCGCAAGGTCGCTCATGTAAATTATTAATCATTTCCGAAAATCCACGAATAATAGGTTTCCACGAAATTAGGTTACTTGACTGTATATCAGTATATCAGATTTAAGTTAATATTTTTTAAGTAAACTGCAATATCAACTTCAAAATAGTACTGATGTATTAGGATGTTGCTTAGAATTGTAAGACTTGTAGGTTAACAATTTAAATAAGCACACTTCTCCACCAAAATTTTCAAATAAAAATATACCTGATTTTGGTTACAAAAAATTGCTCTCTGCGCATATCATTTTAAGGTGTCAATATGTATCTATGTATAATTTCGATCAGTGCAAATTTATTCAAGGACCATGATTAATATTTTGTATTTAATTACATTAAAATAATCAACAGATTTTGATATGATGTCGAAAGCAATGAAGACAGCAGTAAAGATAGATATGAAATGAAATGAATGGAGTTTTACGTCCTACTTTTCTGCACCATGTAGGCTAATGAAGACAGGCAACGCCATGCAGGGTACAACGAGGGAAATTTTGCCAGGACAGCGATATTAGTCTGCTGTTTTTCAAGGATTCCAACTGTTGAGGGATCTTTAACGTGCAACGTTTAACTCACTGAGCCACCACGGCTCCAAAGATGATATGAAACTAGAACTATTACCTCTGAGTAATGTAGAATATGGTATCCATGGCTGATAGTCTATATTTGACAAACATTCCTGACACCTTGTACCTTCATTGTTTTTGAAATACACTAGACCAGACACATAGTTTAATACATCAGATAGTTTGATGAAAATATCAATGGACAAACAGTTCTTATCAAGTTTAAGAACTTCAATAGGTAACAATGTAAAAATCTGTTCATCTCTCGGTGCTGGTATCTACAAGATATCATTAATTACAAATTGTAAAACTAAATTTATGAAATTGTGTTTTAATTACATTCTTCGCCATTATTAGAATCAATCGTACCTTAATCTCAGAAACTGGAATTCAGATGAGCTAATCAGTAATAGTGTTCACAGCTCACCGTCGAAATTTTAGCCTTCTTCGTCATGTATCCATAATCATCTGTGATTGAAAAGTTACATTGACGTGCGAAAGTTTTGAATGAATTATACGATTTTCGTATAGTTCTGGTACGTCTAAGGACTATTTACATATATTCAATGCCCAAATAAAGCCCACAAAATGGAATACTATGGCCTTTTACAGAAGGAGGTACAAAATATTTTAAGTACAGACTGGTTGCACCCAGACCGAATCTTTTGAAAACTAACGGTAATATATATTTTCGATATTCAGGATCAAGGGCAATAACTCTGTTTTTAATTATGATACTAATCATTTTTTATAATAATATACAAACACGTCAATTCTTGTGAAACATAGTAAAAGGAATACGAAAAATTTAATATTCTGCAACAAGGTCAATATTCATTTTCATTTCTCTTTTTCTATTTTCTCCTTGATATATTCACAAATGCAAATTTCAATATACATACCTGTATATCTTGAATAGTCAATGTTTGTAGTAAATCTATTAATTGTTGAGTCAATGTAAATTGTTCATATAAAAGTGAAATATAACACCACTCAATTATAACTAATATCACATACTTATATATACCATGTACTGAAAAATATAATACCATTTCAAAATTACATATTAAAGGGATTGTAAAAAGGTTTTCTAAATTTTGTATGTGTATCGGGGACAATGGGAGCATCAATTTGCACCATTTTCAATCATACATCTGTGGTTCTCGCAATTCTACTAAAACAAAGTACTTTATGATGTCACCCCCACAAAGGTCTTATGTGATAGAAGCACATTTTGTCAGAAAAGTCAGAAAATACTTAATTTTAGTGGAATTGCAGGAACCACAGATGTCTGACTAAAAATTGTAATGGTGCAAATTGATGCTATCAGTGTCCCTGATATGCATACAAAATTTAGAAAACCTCTTTACAATCCCTTTAACTCAAAAATACAAATGAAATGCACCTGATTAGACTAAAGAAGACGGACAATATCATGCAGTATGCAATGAGGAGATTTTGACAAGAAAGCAGCATTATAAAAATACCTCAAACTAACAAATTCACATTTTTTCACCAGTTTATTCTCTTCCTGAAAATTGGGGACCCACAAATTGTACGTCTTGATGATAAGGTCTATAAAAGGTGTACAGACAATATTCGCTTATGCAGTCCTTAACCATTCTACATTATGGTAGCGTCTTGAAATGGCCAGTTATCAATGTATTTTTCACAGATACTTATGGATAAACATAAGAGGCTAACATTTCTACAATAAACTGTGAACACTATTACTGAATAGCTTAGCTGAAACATTTCTGTTTCTGAGACATGCATCAAAGATAGACACTTACTTCTGAGAATTTTCTCTTTCATTAAGACAGTAGAAAACAAACTGACTAATCTTATTGAGCATGTTACATCTGGTGTAAATAAGACAGCTGGATTATGATCCACAAAGGATAGCACTAAAATAAAACATATAATGCAGTTAAGTAGAAGAAGAATATAAAAAAGATAAACAAGTAGAGCTAATTAGGCTGCTTTATTGCTGAAAGTGTTATATGTCACAGACAAATCTGGCCCTACCAGTTCCTGTGACATAGGATAAGATCTACTAGTTTTAACTGAGTTTTGTTACCAAAAAAAAATCCGAAATAAACTTCACACCTGCCACAATTGTAATAGATTTACCAAATACAGTGGAGCCTAGTTTATCTGCACATTCCTGTTTCAGATATAATCATGCAGTTTAACAAAAATCTGGATAGTTGAAACATGCCATCCATAACTAGAGTTATATCCCTTCCTATTAGAAAACCTGTCAAACGTCTTATACACAACATGTGATACACACTATCATAGTAAAGTAATAATAATATCATTCTTAGAATTAGGATAAACATAAATTACTGTACTGTTTCATCGTAGCGATAATGTTTGATGTGTTCTGTAGCCATGATGGAATGCGGGTATGACTGAACAAAAGATAGCTTACACATGATCATTAAATTAACCACACATTCTCAAATAACGATTAAGTAAACACCGATCAACAGGGCATCATACTAATACCTATCCGAAAGCCACTTTCACTTATTTACAAACACAAACTTTGTAGGGGTAACGTTTGATGCGTTCCATATCAATAATAGAATCCAAGTATGACTGAACGAAAGATGACATTGAAGTTTAACTGAACGATAAATGGTATTCAGGTATGATTGAACGAAAGATAGCTTACACGTGATGATTAAATTAATTGCTTAATCTCATAATGAGGATTTATTAAACACCAATCACGTGACATCATAAATACCGCTAATCTGGAAGCCAGATAGAAGAACTCATAGTAACACGCGACCGGATGATGAATACTAATTACTATAGAATTTGATAATTGGTTCCCAATCACAGCCGTGCGGAACTGGAAACCAAAACAGCAGATTAATGGTTAATTTTACATAGTAAATATTCCGTTCCCGTTAAAAAGCGTGCGGATATCGGGGTTTCCAGATTATCGGCAACAACCGGATAAACCCAGCTCCACTGTATTGTAAATCAAAATCTATCAAGGTTTTAGTCAAAAAATGAGTAAAATCATTTACCTCTCTGTATACTTCGACTTATTGAGATATTATAGGAGACAATAGAACAATTAGATGGTTTATAACAAGAAACTTTACAACACAACAAATTATATAATATACACAATTCACTACACACAACTGGCTTGGATAAGGGCAGACCTGAAATAATGAGAGAGATAAAATATGATGATGAGAATCATAAACAGAAGTAGAGTCTACACATTAATAACTTGAGAAGGAAAAGTTGTACAGTTTAGTTCTATCTGACCTTCGTTTTTTGAACAATGACCAATGGATGCAGATATCACATATTAGCGGTAGCTTTAAAATATTAAATTAATGAATGGATTTTCACGTTCCACTTTTCTGCACCATGTGGGCTAATGAAGACGGGACTAATGCTGTATTTATTACCTCTGGGAAATAGGGAAATACGACTTCCGAGATGGTATATAGCATTCACTACTTCAAATTTTGCTTGGAAGTCGTGTTTTCTATGGAGAACTCAGGTACCCGTAGCTAGAATTATTTAGAGTTCATAACATATGACGTCATATGACGTATTAATGTTGGGCAACCAATCAGAATTATATAATGGACACCCGCGATATAATTATTATGCAAATAAAGTATATTTCTGTACTAATAGAATCAAGTGATAATTACAACTTCCTACTGGGAAACTTCCCAGAGGTAACAAATACAGCATAAATACTCAAGACCTTTGAAGATTAATGCGCCATTTTGGTACCATGTTTTAAGATATATTTCTATGGTCTATAAACCACTGTCCTATATTGGCAAAAAAAAACAAGAAAACTTACATCTGCAAGTATTTAGTAGCTTGGTAAAGTTTTTCACCACACCATCAGTTTCACTCTCAGCATGAAACTAATAAAAATAAAAATTAATCAAAAAATAAGTTGAATGAAGATGTCGTAGTCCTACTGGTTTTAAGAGTTAATATCAAATAACATGCATCTGAAAGTTCGGCTTCAAAAAATGAAAGAAAGGAGTAAGCTGAGTCATCATCAATTGATCAATTGAAATATAATCCTGATAACAATGTCATAGAGAATAAGGTTGTTAAAAGTTTATAGATATTTAAAAATAAATTGGAAATATAAAATTCAGAAAGTGATTTTCAGTTATAAATGTTGGTTGTTCCACTGACATTCTCATCATTTAAAAGTGAAATTTCTTGAAAAGTGTTTTTTTCATAAACAAATCATGTGTAAAAAGCAACCTAATATTTCTACATTCCATGACAGACACAATTCACATATTTCACATCAGAAATTACAGAAAGTGGTGAAAATGCCTAAATGAAATTTGGCAAAACCAGGACACCACAAATAAAAACATAAAATAGACAGAGGTTACCTCTTCAACTGAGTGTTTCTGTTGAAAGTCGACAATCAATCTATCATGTTCAGTGTCTAGTTTAGACAATTCAGACTTGACCATGACTTTTATATTGTGTTGTCACGTACGGAAAATAGAACTAATCATTCTTTCACAAATTTGTGTTTACCTCCATTATTCATTAAGACCGCTTGTATCAACACTGATTCTTGTCATTATTTACATGCGTACCAAAGTTACTAGTCAAATAAGGTTTGTTTGAAATTTGAGTGAAGCTTTCAAAATTATCTGGCTAGAAAAAAACAAGAAAAAATGTAAAAACTCAGAAAACTCAAATTAAAGATTATGTTTTGTAAGTACATAAGCGGCAGAAGACATGTATAGGGCAGATAACTCTCTTAAACATTTTTATTGTGATTTTGACTTCAGGAAAATAATATTGTGATCAAACACTTTAGACATGAAAAGTTGAATTAAAAAGTTTGAAGAACGTTTCCACATTATGGCAGCAAGTAACCGGGAAAAATTTGCTTTTAAAAATACCTTAATTTGCTTGTTGAAAGCTTTGGAAGGCCAGGTAGCCATTGTGGAATTGAGAAATGAAACTTCAGTGAAGGGGAGAATCACAAATGTTGATGGATGGATGAATATGACTATGACAGGTGGAACATTCAAGAACAAGACTAGAAAAATCATAAAGTTTACAGATTTCTTTGTTCAAGGTTTTATGATTAGATTTGTGCAGATTCCAGATCACATTGATATCAGAAAAGCCATTGAAAGTGAAGTTTATGCAGATGTGAGACACAAAGCAAAATCTTCAGCTATAAGGAAACAGACAAATGAAAAAAGAATGGAAAGACGGAAAAAGTTTCAAGAAAAAGAAGACAAAAGACTCAAATCCCTTGAAGCCAAATCTAGACTGTCTATGCCTCAAAAAGAAGTGCCTGAAAGTGAAACCCAAAGTGCCCCTCTGCGAGAATATCAAGATATTTTATGATAACTTTTGAGAGAATGTTTTTTCACTAAAATCAGTACTGAAGAAAGTCTGCACATCAAAACTCAATCTGGGCCATAAACAATTAGTTTAATTCCTAGTTAAAATGAATTCTTGCAAATATTAATATTCAATAACTTGCTGTTGCAGAAAATATGAATTGAATTGATAGTAGACCATGCAAGTTCTATGTTTAAAGGACACATATTTTGTTTTAGAATTGATTTGCCATTGTTATAATAAATTAACAAATCCAACTTTTGTTTTGCGTAGAAGATGTTGAATAAAGTTGTTCATGAAACCGCATTTATTGATTACCCGTATCATTACATTACTATCACTTTTTGGGTGTATCATCATTTGAGGACATAAAACTTTTGACCCCATTTAATCATTTGATTACATTACCTTCAGACTCCATTTATATCATTTGATTACATTACCTTCTGACTCCATTTATATCATTTGATTACATTACCTTCTGACTTCATTTATATCATTTGATTACATTACCTTCAGACCCCATTTATATCATTTGATTACATTACCTTTTGACTCCATTTATATCATTTGATTACATTACATTACCTTTTGACTTCATTTATATCATTTGATTACATTACCTTTTGACTCCATTTATATCATTTGATTACATTACCTTCTGACTCCATTTATATTATTTGATTACATTACGTTCTAACTCTTTCATAGAAGCCAGCCTTCGATTCCGGATATTATGGTTTATCTTGTTGGGTAAAAGAAAATCATTTGCTTTGTGGGCTGTCCCAAACATGTGAAGTCGGACAAATCTGAATAACTCAAAATTTTTCAAGAATTTGACAACCCCTGTTTTGCTAACAGCATCGGACATAATGTGCTTACATACTGGTCAGGTTAGGAGTCTTATTTTAATTTCACTTCCAGCACAGCGTGATAAAGCAAACAGAAAGTTTTTTGAAAGCATATCAAACTCGGTTTTGTTTTAAAGAGTGATCATTGGTCAACTTTATATATATTGACCAATCAGGCCACTTTGTATCTATTCTAAACTATTGAACACCTGATTATTTGCCACACTATATGTTGTTGTGTAATGGGATTGATCTAATCCAGATTATTATTAAGATGTTAAATCCAATTAGACGCCAAGCTAATCGATCAACCGATTACTTGGATGTTTAAAGCGATAGCCGTTTGCGAATTTATTTCAATGAAAAGAAATAAACCTTCGTAAGATCAGAATCAACTATGCTGTCTGTAGTTTTTATCATTTGACCACTAATACCCCCCATATTGATTTGTTTCCCGCTTCTCACCATGTGTGGCGTTTCTGCCGTGACAGATCAGTGGGATTATACGCGCTAACCTGAAAGGGCTAAATTCAGATCTAGATGGTTCTATAAATACTTCAACCCAGATTCAATCCAAAAGATACAAGTCGCAAGCCCATAGCTTCAATACACCATTTCCCATCTGATTAGATTACTTGCCCTCGAACAATCATGTCTGGCTACGGGCTTGGCAGGTCGACATTCAAAGAGTGTCGGGATGAGGCAATAATGAAAATAAATCCTGGATCTCTTATGTTGCTGCTCTTTTAAATATCTCTTCTGTATTGGATATTGTCTGTCATTCTCCATCTCCTTTAACCATTAGGCTTCAAAAAGTAGAAATTTTTCATTTCAGTTATTTCGCAATTCAGGTTGATAGCGCCTCTCTGACAAGAGAATACAGACTTTGATTTCATTTCATTTGATTTCATGTTAATTGATAGATAACACGCATTTAATGGGGATGAAAGCTTTATAATGCAATTCATAGCAAAAGCCAAACCATTGCTGTCAGATATAATATATCACGGTAATATCCCTTTAAATGGGATTAATTTGAAACAAGATAATCTGATCTGATCGGACGAGATTTAGATAATAAGTACAGAACAAAATAACCTATAATTGTATCGCTATTGTATTTATAGTGGATTAGTTAAGCATGCCTAGTTTTAGGTTAATCATTGAACAAAAAGACAAACCATAAATTCATAAAGGCCTTTTCGTAGTTTGTCAATTAGCCATAAAGGAGTGTATATCATTTTATGGGAATTTGCTATAAGGCTTTTTTTTATTTTAACTGTTAAAGATATACGAATATTTTGTGGTTAGTAGACTATTGTGGATGTTAGTAAATGCAACAGATGTATTAAGGCATTTCTGCTCTACATTAGTCTAACTATATTTGTAACATCTTGTTTGTAACGTTGTGATTTTTGGATATTGTGATATTTACCAACATTGAAGAACCAAAAACAACTATAAACTGAATATTATCAGAATATACTTATACCACTGTGATAGCAAACCACTATAAGCATGATAAAAATGAATTAATTGAACATCCATTCTACTTGATTGTTGTTACATATCGTGTATATGATGCAGAACACAACATTTATCGTTGGAAATGACTGTGTAGTCGGGAATCAATGGTTAAAGGTGTTTTTTTTTTCACAATAATAATTGGATGGTATTTCGTGATATCATGAAACGATTATAGTGTGATATACTAATACACAATTATCTAGTCTAGCCTATATTGTAAATTGATTTGAATTTTGACATTTAATTTGTGACAAACATAAAGCACACATTTAGATAGGTTCGTGAATTGTCCAAGATGGACGGGAGGGAGAAATAATAAAGACAATATCGTTCCATCCTGTGTTTGGTGATAGCTCGAAGCATTGGAGAACACAACATTATGTCTAGTTCCTCTAAAATTGGCGATTTGACCCAGATTGTGGGACCAATAACGGAGGATAATATCATCAGGTACCTTAATTCAAGATTCCAAAAAGAAAAATTCGAGGTAAGTCTGTTTTGAGCATCATGTGTTCCTGTTTAGGAGGATATAGCACATTTGATACACGGATTATTCTACTGAAAAACACTAGCTGGAGATAAAAGTTATACTCCAAAATTTAGCGTTTAAAATATCACATACTGTTAACAAAAATCCCATATTTGACATTTTGGACATATAACGCGTTATTTACTTGCGTTATGTCTTCCCCACTATAATACTAAATAATATATCAAAGTAGGCCTAATATTAACACCTCAAAAAGGGATGCTAAGTTGACAAACACAGTTGCTGAGTGGCATCAGATTTTCACTGAGTAAGCTGATGATTATATCGTTGCTTTTTTTAATTTCCTGAATTTACATCTACAATACTGATGTAGACTTACACGTTTGTCACCTTTACTTTGCCACTGTCTTATATTAGACCGAAAAAACTATTGAATAGTATTTGACAGTGCAGAAAACTACATTGCAGACCCACAAAATTTCCTCTAACACTATACATCATTGTATCCATTTACGTCGTGAATAAAGCGTCAGGTAACAACTTACATAACCAAATCATTGGCAGTCATTTTGCCAGAATAGAGAAAATACGACTAGGTAATGGGACGTCAATGGCTTACCACTATTTATTGTTTCAATCCTCAGACAAAACTTGGCACCAACATCATCAGCATCAACCCTTTTACTCTGGACACAGCAGAAGGTAGTCTACCCGGTAAAGCTATAACAACCATAGTGCAACATGTTCTATCACAGCATCATGATACTGGACATTCACAAGTCTTTGTCCTCAGGTAAGTTTTTCTACATTCCTATTTAAAAGAATCATTGTGGCATCTGAAATGTAAAATAAAACGCGAAAGCATGGTTCTTCCCCTGAACTCTCGAACGCACTCTCCAATTGATTTAATTGTAGGAAAAGTCCTTCATTTATATTTTGTTTTATTTGAAAAATTGTGCTTAAAAATCATCCTAGAGCTTACATCTCAGTATGTAACCATAGAACCATCATATTGGTGAAATAGGAAAAGAAAGAGAAAACCTCACCTAAAATGAAAATAAAACATTAGCTGTGAATTTTTTTTTTTTGGCAGTGGTGAAACTGGTAGTGGGAAAACATTTCAATGTGACCAAATATTAGAATGCATCAGAAATGAAAACTGCAATAAAGAAAGAGACGACCAACTCACAGCTGCTATGACAGTTATGAGAGCTTTTGGTTCTGCGTCGACACTGTACAATCCTCATAGTTCTAGAATGGTACGTACCTCAAAACATCTTTAACCAATTTCGTTGATAGTTTAGTATTAAGCTTTTAATCCTCCAGTATTTCTTATATATGTTGTCATCATCATGAATGAATGAATCATCGATTTTTAAACATCAGTGTTGGGTGTTATAGAAAATACTCTCCTATAGAAGCACTGGCCAACGTCACAAGAAGAGAACATACTTCTTTTACATTCAGTGAAAATAAGTGAATTTTGTCCTGTGCATATCTTGCATTTATTTGTATATCGTTTTTAATCTGTTTGTGTTAATCCTTCTTACTATTTGTTCCAATTCAACGGTTTATGTTCCAGGGTGTTTATGTAGAACTGATGACTTCAGATTGTAAAATTTACCGAAATAAGATACATTGTCTGTTTTTAGATCAGGTAATATTTCATTCAGTAGATTTTGAAAACCAGAATGCAAGTTAACACCGGCGACAAGATAACTTACTCTCTGAATCCGATAGTATCAATAGATTCTATAAAGCACATATAAAAGGACATTTAGCCATAATTGTCTTGGACCGACGTCTCCAACCTCATACTGTAGCTTTCAATTTTTTTCTCTTCGAAATATAAAAAAAAGACCGAACGTTACACTTTTGAGGCACAACAAGAAATTTGGGAAATTTAACAACGGAACGCCACTTACTTACCATTTACTATTTTTCAGAGAAGAATAAATACAGTTCCAATAGGAGAACAGAACTTTCATATCTTTTACCAATTATTATCTGGTCTTACACAAGAAGAGAGGGGTAAGTAGTTCTCCTTGTCTTGCACCCAACCTACAATTTTGTTTTCCAAAAGAAAGAAGAAAGTGTCTGTATTTCAGATACGGAACTTTATTATAAGACCTTTTTCTGTCCATAGATGATAGCATTTGTTCTAAGAACAGTGGCAGTAAGTCAGTAATCAACCTCCACTAGGGCAAACTGTAGGATGTGTATTATAATCAGTGATATGCAAGACTATATCTTTGTATCCTTAATCTAAACTGCTGGTAGGAAGATACTGTTTGGACTTTGAACAATCTGGTAAGTGTTTCGGTTATTCAATATTGTTTTAATTTCAGTAAAACTTCATCTTGAAGATTACGATTTTAATGATTTGAACTATTTATCTACTGGCAACGATATTGAACATGATAAGAAATATTATCACGACAGATTTCTAGAATGGAAGGTAAGATGGTTTTCTACATTGTTTAAAAGTTACGAAAAGTTATTGGGTATCGCTTAGCGTGTCTGTCTTTTGTTGTGCACCTTCTTTCTTTTTTCTTATTTGTATTTAATATTGATGGGATTCTCATAAGATGAAGTACGCAAGAAGAATTAAAACTGCCGAAATAAAAGATTTTAATTTATTTTACTTTGTTTTGTTTCAGAAAAGTTTATCATCATTAGATATACCAGTAATGGATGTATTAAGAATTTTATCTACTGTGTTACTATTAGGAAACATCAAGTTTCAAGATGGTGGAAACACAGATTTAGAAATTAGTGGACAAAGCGGTAAAATATATGTACTGTTGTAGCTCCATTCAAATACACAGAAAGGTCTTCAATAAGAGACTTTTGATGTCACTACTTGGTTTCAATCAGAAAGGTCGATCTCAAGATGGAAAGAGTAGGCGGAGTGTAGTTCAATATGCTACGATGGTATATATTCATAATAGATCCATTGATATCCAAGGAATCAAAAAGGATTAGCCAAATAACATACGAAATCTAAAAACTTAACACTATATGACATTTAATTTCAGAAATGAAGTCGGCCTCTGCTCTATTGGGTATATCCAGTGTAGCAATGTATAGAGGTTTAACGTCCAGATCACATACTGCTGATGGCCAAATGTGTCATACATCAGTTGAATCGCAACAGGTATGGTATAAGCTAAATATAATCTCGGATAATATTTAACCCTAAAACTGTTAAAAATAATAATTCTATGTTGATGTTAATGACTGTGTTTGTATCAAAAAACAGGTGCCGACAACATAAGATTGGAGCGCGCAATTTTAAATGTCCCACGAGAGTTTGGTTAAAAAAAACTATAATGGTATCGGAGGTGTGACATTCATAGTTTAGGGGAGATTATGATATGGAATGACTGAACTACAAATATACATATTCATCTGTCCGAATAAATTTAGGTTTGAGTCCGATTTACATGAATAGGTTTGAAACCCCCGCAACTTCGGAGGTGCAGGAAAATCTCCATACAACAAGGCCTAATTTTTCTGTCCAACCTCAAATTTCAAAATAGCTATCAGAACCTTTTCACTATGACCTCTGGACAATGTACAAAAGACCACACAACGTTTAGTCTAAACATTTGCCTTTTATTTTCAGGCTAACCATAATTGTGCGACGCTTGCCAGAGCCTTGTATTTTAGAACTGTATCAGCTATATTAAAAAGAGTCAATAGTCTAAAGAAAGCCAATTTGCAGGGTTCTCATTCCAGCTTTGAAAGTCTTCAATCACAGAACAGCAGTTCCTACAGTTAGTTCTATTCTTCAACGTGAATCTATTTTTGGTTAATGGTTATCAAAAACCCACGGATCCATGTTCTTCAATAGAAATATTTTTGGAAAAAAGAACGATCTTTTCATGCTTTACGTAGAAAATTATATCCATTCGTTTCTTTTAAGTCGATGATCCAACAATTGCACGCAGCAGATTCAGGTGCATACAAAAGTAAAGTAACTGAACATGTTCGCACTTACTTTCAATTTAAAATTTATGTGTTAATTGATGCATTGATTAAAATAAATTCAACCAATCTAGTTTATGTGTGAAATAAAGTTATGAATGCAATTCACACAATTACATCTGCATTTCAGATTTACGACCAGATATTTTATCATTAAGCCAGGGATCACATGGGCATGGTAGAAAATTCACTGATGGTTTTATAGGAATATTAGATTTACCTGGTTTTGAAAATTATGAGGTATGTGATTATCGACCCGAACATGTCGAAGCAGCTCTCTTGTTCTGCAGGAGCAAGATAATTTATGGTTTGGGTCGAAGCCATATCATTTAGAAACGGTTTATATACAAAGATTATAATCTATCAGAAGTTACGAAGCATTTAACGATTTGCTAAAAAAGACTTTTGGTAGACATGATCATATTCCTAGAACACTTGCTCTGTTAAGTGTCCTTCAAGTTTGGTGTTATATTATTGTTCCGTTCATTTTGACCAGACAGTACTACCCTTGTAGCGAAGTTTTCTTAACCTTCCGATAATCATTGTGCCCCTTGTGATTGTGCTTATCAACACGACCAAAAGTTAACATAGAAGTCTACAAGTGCAGTCACGAGAACAAGACTATACCTTGTAAAACTTCAGTAGGGACACAGCCTTACAGATCAGTTTTCTGAGTAACAAAATGTTTCAGATCCTGTTTTTTTTTCTTACATCGCTCTACAAATGATGTATTGAGCACCATTTTAGCAGTGAAAATATATGTTTTTGTTTGAAAATCATAGCTTATGGATTTTTTCTTAATTCTTTTTAATGTTAACCTCTGAAATATTTTCTACCTTTCAGGTGAACAATCTAGAGAAGCTGTGTAGAAATCTATGTGCTGAGAAAGTTCACCACCATTTTATAAAACATACCTTTATTACACCAGAAGAAATATTACGAGATGAATGTGTTTCACCTGATATAGATATTAGATACACTAATAATAGTCAGGTTATAGATTTACTGTATTCACAGGTAAGTCAAATTTATGGCTCCCAGTGAGTGAGATTTTGTTATACTTCGAGACCTTTAACACCGTGGGTCATCAGCTATACACGTTTCAGACCTTTCTGATGTAGGCTGTTGTCTGGCCATATTTCCAATGTATTACACATCTTATTGATCGATTACCATGTTACCGTCAGAAAAGACTGATACCTGTTTTCGACCAGGACAAGAGGAAGTTGTACTGGATGATAGAGGCTAAAAGAGACTCTTTGCTTTGTGTTCTGATAATGATTATTCTATTCAGTTTTAATTTCAATTTTCAGCCGAATGGAATAATGCCGTTATTAAGCAGAAGAAACAGTACATCACAAATAAAGAAAGAACACAGAACGAATAACTAGTAAGCATTGCTGAATATTAGAAGATCGCATTACATCTATGAGGCAATGGGTCAATGATACATACAGATATAATATGCAGTTTTGTCCTTTTGGAAGAGAGTGGGGAGTGTATTTGGATGATATACTTAATTCTGATAAAATCTTCATATTTTGGGTCGCTTGTCAGAATTTGGTAAATGTTACGGTATACACCACTATCTGTGTTGTGTTAATATTGTACGACATACGTTTAAGGTTATCCTACACCTGTTAATATTATATGAAATTTGCTCTATTTGAATAAGAAATTCTTTATTCATAGCTTCTTCGAACCTCTTCCAAAATCCGACTCAACATTTGGGGTTCGACATTTTGGTGGCAGAGCAAATTATAATGCTGAAGATTTTGGTGAGACCAACCAAGACCAGTTATCTGATGATGTTATAGCCATGTTTTCAAAGAGATCTTGTAATTTCGGTTTTGCTTCTCATCTTTTCTCCTCAGAACTGAAGCAAATTTCAAGTAAGAGTATGATTTTGATCTGTTACTCGGACTCACACAAAGTGAAGTCGCTCTTCCATTCATTTTCGTAACTTTCGTCACTTTAACCCTAAGACGGTGTTCTGCAACATCCAGAGAGATATCGCTATAAAATTCGCCAAGTTTCATCCAAAAACGTTTCAATAATTCTAACAAATGATTTCGCAAATATTTCAGACGAACCAAAAAAATAAGTGTACAAACTGGTTTCGTTCCTGCGCAGTCTAACCACCGAACCAGAAGTGCCAATGTCATTGTACTTAGTAACTTACAATCTTAATGATTCAATGACTTAATTTTTTGTTTTGATTTATATGTTGGAAAGCCAGGAACACTTGTCTTTTTACATTTATATTCGAATGTTTGCGTGTATATATATATGTAGAGGTTTCCCTTATGATTCATTTGTTGCTTTTTTCAGGTAAAGGTATCACGGGTAGCAAATACAGAACAATGCCTTCCTGTCATCAAGATGAAATAAGGTCAGCAACAAACATTTATTTTACGTTATTAAGTGCCATCGATCGACATTGTAACACATTAGCTTATATGTCAAGCTTAGATACCTGCAGATTATTTGCATCTCCCGACTGAAATAATACTTCTTAGCATGAATAAAAACCTATACTGGTCGATCAGTTCACACAGCAATAACAGAATAAAAATCCAACTCATATATGAGGCGTATCTAGAAAATGTCTGAGGGGAGACCAATAATGAGAGGTTTCTCTCTCTGGGGGTTTTGGGGTTGCCAACTGATTTAAGATAGCCTGAGATGAATTTTGAGCATTTATAGGCTTAGAACGCCTGAATGACCGACCCCCTAAATACGCCACGAAGCTATCAGTACAGACGGATATAACACATACCAACAGATAATTGATCATTTTAGATAGCATATTTTCCATTCTTTTGGGAGTGCCTGTTTACAATGTGAGCAGATATTTATGTTGTGTTTCATATATGCCCACCATACTTTTTCACGTTTATTGAATTTACATATCAATTGTATTTGTGTAGTGAGATGGATAATAAAGGAATATTAAGCTATGATTTTCCGTTAAGAATGGATGCTATATTAAAATCTACAAGTCATGCTAAACCGCATTATATCCACTGTTTGAAGGTAATAGCTTTGTTTTAATCTTAAAATTTCGATTTAATTACGAAACCTTAAAGTTCAAAGCACCCAGATCTTCATTAGAAGCAGATTTTGATAACATCTCATTTTATCGTCAGTAATATCTACAAGAGAAAATGCTCTTAGTAGGTTGGAATTTTAAGCTATTTTCCATTCCGAGAATGGTGTATGGGTTTCCATCCTGAGTAAAGTTACGGATAACCCAAATCGAGCTTCATCAGCATTAACAGTAACGATTTAGAGAACTATATTATCCATAAAACGATTTGAGTTCATTTAGTTTATCACATCATAAGCATAATAATTGGGTTCTTTTTTCAGAGTAATGACAGCTTTAAGGAAAATGTATTTGATTGTGAAACGATACTAAGACAGATACATTCTATACAATTACAGGAAACTGTCCAGCTCATGGTAGAAGGTATGCAATTATCTAATACCTAATCTTGTGTTGCTATGAAATGACTGCAATTCCCACAGCTGAGCGAATACAAAACATTACAAACAACATTACAAACAGAGTTCCTATGGTGGTTTGGTTATATCAGACTCCAAGATATTACAAAACGAACAATCCTTAAAGGGTAACAGGCGGCATTTTCGGGGATTGATTTGGGTCTTGAATGTGCTTTAATAGTCTTAAGAAGTACTAAAACGCACGAAAGTCGCATAATCCCTTCAAATATACCGCAAAATAGAAACTTCACTGTCTATTCCTATATATGTGTTTCTATATATGGCATAGTCTCACTATATTCGAGTCGAATTTTTAACTTTCAAACGTGAATATGGATAAACATGGATTGTAGGCTCAAATTTCGACGATGAGCTGTGAACACTATTACTGATTATGTAAGGTAAACAATTCATGTTTCTGAATCTAAGGTATGATTGGTCGACAGATAGTGAAGGTGCTCCGTTAAAGAATTGGCACCCCTAATACTGAAATGGGTAAACGTTAAATATTGTTCTTTTATCAGGTTTACCATACAGAATGAAATACAGAATATTTAACCAAAGATATAAGTTATTTATGTTGTATCGTCTTTCTCATAAACCAGATTCTCTTCCTGATGAAACCAAGGTAAGTCAAATGTTTCTCAATTGACTTCATCACAAGGGAAAAAGCCTGAAATGGCGGTGGAAAGGGGAGGTGGATCTCTCCAAGGCCGAATCCCCTTAAGGTCTGGAGTTGCTGGTAAATCCGCCACTGCTTCATGATACTATTTTTAAGGGGGGCTTACTTTCATTTTCTATGTGATGCTTTTATTGTACACAACGTTCCAACCAAATATGCTGAAAACATCTCCCAAAACATCTCTCTTCAGGAAATATTGGAATGTTTCTTAAGGAGAATGGATAAAAGTAATCAACCATATACCACAACTCAATGGATTTATGGAAGAAAACATATCTTCTACAGGTTAGTATGCTAATATATAGCTTACATCACTTCGAGTTCTTTCTTATGATTTTTTCAATGTATTTCTTATGTGCGTTGAAGCACAAATCGTAGGCAAACTCATTAATGCTTGCCTGCGTAGTTTTCAGGAGGCTGAATATTTAGTATGTGAAGAGCCCAGTAACGTCATTTTGAATAATATAATGCACAACGTCATTTCAGTGAAAGTAGTAGACAATGCTTTGATAGAATGAAACTGGATATGACATCTAAAGCTGCTACGGTTATCCAGTCATATTGGAGAGGATATTGGGCCAGAAGATCATGGTCGATGAGAAAGAAGAGTAAAGGTTATTTAAATAGGAGAAGGGGATCATCCAAGAAGCGTTATTCAGGGTAGGTTGTCGGGTAATAGACCTATATTAAAGTACAATAAATTTTAATGACTTCATACATTTGTACATATTGTAACGTATAACCAGGGAAATTCAGTCCACCATTTATGCATGTTGCAGAATCAAAGAACAACCTCCACCAGCAGCAGTCCAAGCATTTGAAGAGGATGAAATACCAATCTATGAGAACCACCCTATAGCTGAGACTGGTAACCCACTGTCAGATTATGTAAACAAATTGATTGCTACATTACCGGTAAGTATGAAGCTGAAGCAGTTAACCAGTTGGTCAGGTGATCATGGGAGACCTGGTTACATTGTAATGAAAATTCCTGACTGGTCTTTGACATTTGCGTTGTCAATAATTTAGGGCGAGTCAAAGGATGACGTAGAAGAAGTGCCCCCTTAAAAGTTGGAAATCGACAATGTGTCATTTACAAACCAAAACACTACCTACTGACTTATAATGTGCACCAAGTAAACAAAACTGTTCCGTAGGCCATTCTTTAACTTCAAGTTCTAGCGTCAATGTCCAAAGACTTTATTGAATTTGAGCTCCCTATTGTGGCGGCTCTCACTTACAAAGCAGGCATGCTGACACATTAGAGCACCTGTTGCCACTCTGCGACAGGGTCTGACAACTAAGAATCTCTCTAGGTTAGCCCTAATAGCTAATATCGTTCGTTTAATATATTTAATTCATGCTCACCAAAGAAAACGAAGCAAGTTTGGACAATGTCAGATGGTTGCATAGCTTGAATTGTTATACACATTCTATTATAGAGTAACCCACCTCCACTACCAAAATTAAGGTCTTATACCATTCATAATAATAGAAAGTGCCCTTTTCCACAGAGACGGAGGTTCAATGAGAAATTTAAAGGTAAGAGATGTCTGAATAATAAAGTAAGATTCAGAATTTAGTTTTTTTTTATAAATTCACAGATTAACTTTAATATTACGTATACTAATGACGCTCTGTCTAATTATTGTTCCCTCAACGGGGTTAACCATGCTCGCATTTCTGGCACACATGATGCCAATTTGTGATTAAGCCTGTAAACTCGACTTCCTTTCAAAGGCACCACAAACCCGGGACATTGTTACATTGGAATTTTTTTATGTTTTCCATTCTGTAAATTTCAGTGGCTAACTATGAAGGTTTAGTGTTTGATAAAGGTCAAGATGTAACAGTAACAGGAATATCTTCTAAACCCAAATTCTTAATAGTGCAATATTGTAACAAAGAATATCATATACCCTATCATTTACTGACTATTAATGTAAGTATCCGTACAAATAACTGACTCATTTACTAACTCTTAATGTAAGTATTCGTTTTATTTACGGACCAATAATGTAAGTTTTCGTATTTTTTACTATTAATGTAAGTGCCAGAACCATTTACTGACTATTAATGTAAGGACCCGTACCAATAACTGTATATTAATGTAAGTATCCGAATTATTTCCTGACTATTAATGTAAGTATTCGTATTATTTACTGACCAATAATGTAAGTTTTCGTATTTTTTACTAACTATTAATTTAAGTATATATTCGTACCATTTACTGACTATTAATGTAAGGACCCGTACCAATAACTGTATATTAATGTAAGTATCCGAATTATTTACTGACTATTAATGTAAGTATCCGTATTATTAACTGGATATATAAATGTGGACGTATGCACAAGATATTTTATAAAATATTTCAATCGTTGTTATGAAGAGATGGATATAATTGTAATGGTAAAAGTAAAAATCTGACCATATTTTTTGAAAATCTATTTTAAATACTGTTCTTAAAACAAAGATTATGCTTTGATGAACTCCGAGAGAGAATTTAGCTACAATTTCTGTTTTACGAGACTGGTGTACTTTTCCCTGTATTAGTACATGTATTCTTATCATTTATTGACTAAATTGAACAGAAACCTTTCCCTAAAATATTTTTCTAGTGCCAGTCTCGTATGTTATTTAAAGAACGCATACAGCCTTTGAACAATTGCCTTCATCATTCTAATTTTTATTTCAGATACCAGATCTAATGGTATCCCCGGTTTTATAGGTTGGAAATTACAACATTACAGCATTCGGTCGTTGTTATTTGTGGAGATTTTGAGAAATCGGCGATTGTGGACGATTTTGCACACAACAATCAACATAATTTTCGAGCCAAGACACTAGAATGAGGTGAAAAACAGAAAAGTTGGGCTGAAAAAACCAAGCATTATCACAAAAAATTGTTATTATTTATTCATGTAAAATTATATTAAAGACTGGTTAATGGGAAAATTATTATGTCTTAATACGCCCAGACGAAGTTGTCATGCTTTCCAACGATCCGTTCGTCCGTCTTTTCACAATACATAACAATCTCCTGCTCAATTGCTGGATTCCTTTCACTGATTTTCAGTGAAGTGCTCATTCTACAGATTACAGTTTTAGGATAGCTTTCATTTCATATTTACATGATCATCGTAAAGCTCCCCTGTCAGACTACAATATTTGATGCATTGTTTCATTTATGGATTATAATTTTGGTGATTGTAAGACAAGGATAATGCCTGTGGATTTTAATGATGATAGGTTGATTTTATCCCTGTTTACCGTGATGTGATGGACCTTGTATTGGGCATAATGTGATTACCCGCAAGTGCTAGATATCATGCTACTCTCAACTATAAACAATGCTCTGTACTAAATTTGGTGATTCTCAACAACATTAACTTGTTACTTCCCTTGGTAGGCTACAGTCTTTGACGACTTCTGTGTTGTTTTTGTAGGTATTTCGTTGTTACATTTCGTTGTTATTTCGCAATTCACAGGTCTTATATTTCGTTGGGTCTACCACGTAAAATTTTGTCAATCAACAAACATAATGAAAACAAGGTTATGATTTGATGACCTTCCATCTTGAAAGGTATTGGGAATTGCGCACTGAAATACGTGCTTGATCCAAATTAACAACCGCATTAAAAATTACCTCTCTTGAACTTGAAACATTGTTCTTATTTTGGTTTTCCTTTAAGCCATCTTGATACAAGTCGAGACTTTAATTGCGACCTACACCTTCGTTAAATGTGGTATTGGGTCTTATTGAAGAAACTGTCCTATAGAAGCATTTTTGCATTTCTGTTATAAATTTAAGTAAAAAAGACTGAATTGAAAATACAATAAAATTTACTTTGCTGAAATTCTGAAAAAACTGAAATAATATTGTTTGCGAATGAAAACACATAATGCAATTGTATAGAATGGAATTTCGAATAAAATAACTGTAATACAACTTTGATGTGTTGGTTATTGTAGAAATCGTGGTTTAATCAAAAACAATGTGGTGGAAAAAAGAGAAACAAATAAAGTCATTGGCCAGGATGTTAAGTTTAAAATGATGTGGGTCAGATAAGATAGAGGATTAAAAACAATTTACACCCTTTTCTCAATATATTTTGAGACTTTAAAATCACCCTATTATATTTTATACACTTTTTCTTTATCCTTTTTTTAATGAATCAGTCCGATATTCACTTGGAAATAAATACTGGTCAATGGTATTTGTAAAGGGTTAGATTTGGTTCGGACATAAAGATATTTATGAGTCTTTCATTGAGGCTATTTCAGACTCCTATTTCTTTTTCTTTCGTAGTCTAACAGATGACTACAAGGGCTAATACTAGAATATCCCCTTGAAGATGATACTATACCTGGCTTTGGGAAATCGATCTGAAACACAGTCTTATGTCGTATAAAGGTGGATCAATCAATTATAATTTAGAATCGGCGGGTGCCAAAGGAATAGGAGATGAAATCAACACCCACTCGATTCACAATAAGAAGAAACATCACTGAAAGCCTTTTCATCTTATTCCATAGTAATGTGGTTTACATTTGATTATAATGACGGATTCGATATTTCTTTTTGTGCGCACCTTTTTTCACAATATTGAAATATTCTAGATAAATGCACTCTCGTTACATCATTTTTGATAATTATAACTTTATATGGCACAAATCAGTTTATTGCGCCCTTGATCAATATATTTCTGTGAATGAAAGAAATACTTTTAATGAAGAACAAGTTTTTATGTTTTTCTTCGATAGATTTAGAAAATCGGAGTTCAGATGGCAAGTTGTTCCTTCAGATTGGTGCTGAGTAACATTTGGTGATTTCGAGGGTTTACAGATATGATATGCTTGTCCTACGTTAATTGATTCAACGTCTTTACTCTTTACAGTTTTGCAAACCCTACTATAGTGGATAATCAGCGAATCACTTATTTAACTAAAACCAAACAAAATCGATGACTACACAGTTAGTAGATAAACTAAATTCCAAATTAACGCAACTTAAATTAACCAATATGTCTTTATTGTCTCCTGTGTGACATTATCAAGATTCTCATCATAAAAAAAACTTCCAGATTTACATATCAGATAGGCAGAGAGCGTAAAATTACATTGACGACTGTTAAAAACCTAGTTTGAACTCGGCGAAATGAGAATCTGTTCACGCAATGAATGCGTTTTTATATGATCAACTGAAACTAAGGGAATGGTCTGTTTTGATTTACGGCACTGTGTTAGCTGCATCTACCATTCAGTACTGTTGATAAGAACAATTCATATAAAAGCACTGATCTAAATCACAATGCAAAAACTTATGAAATACAATATGCTGGTTTAAGGTTTATAAGAACATCATCCGGTAATCTTTGGCAGTTTCCGTAAAGCTGAATCGGTAATGAATGGTAGATTTCGATGTGTCTTCTTGGGCCAGACTCTTTGATAATAATGATTGTGCTAACTGAATATTGTTCCTAAATTTAGAGTCTTCACGGGATATTCTGACACAAAATTTTGCATTTAATATTTTAAGGTGACTATCGGTTTACTAATTTGCATTTACTGTCATTTTTTTAGCCACATCCCAGAAAGATTTCGTTTTTATTGTCCTTGTTTCCAAATACCCGTAGTCATGAACGACCAGCCTCTGATATTTAAATCACCAGAATCATGTGATCACCTGACAATAATGACATAGATCCTGTAAATAATGCCTGCCATAGCGCTAGCAGAACATTCACAAAGACCGTACGAATATATTATCTCAAACATGGGCGTCCGCACTATGGGGTATGAAAAAATGGATTAAAGTTTAAAAAGCTAAATCATGCATAACCTTTTAGCAGTTTTCTGAATTGGGCATGCACATGATGCCAATTGAACGATAGAGGCTCAGATTTTCCGAAATATACGTTATTTATTTATTGAGTTATATCAAAGAATGTATCATTTCAGGGTATTTGCCTTACAAATTCCTTAAAATTCATCGGACGCCCTTGCTCTCAACTGCCTGTTTTGTTTCAAATTATTGGCGGACCAGGCGTCTTTTTTCAGTCCACCACAATTCCTTAGATGCCCCCCTATCGTGCTATATTGCCATTCCTTCTCCTCCACATACAACATTGTCAAGATAAGATAACGATAATATAATATTCACTTTAATGTATTTCATTACCTTAATTATATCATCATTTTATATAAATATAAATTGTTATTAATGGTTTATATCAAAGAGCTTTATAAGCTCCTTGGTTTATATATGCTTTAAGTCTTTTTCAGTGTGATCTAGTCCAATTGATCTATTTTTGGGCAGCAAACATGACTATACAATCTGATATTTCGTTGTGTATATTGGTTTACTTTTCTTATTCTACACGAGGCAACATATTTCCTAAACTCAAGTTGGAACAAAGAGTAATAATTAACCAATCGAAACCGTGGGCCCACAAGTTCAATAATGATTATATCAGAATCACCTCTCATGTGAGATCTTACTGAACGGATCATTTTGATTGGTATAATCATAAACCATTTTTTTTTAAAATGTCTTCAGATCATAGAATATAAGTAACCCCGATACAGGTGTATTGAACCAGATTGCTAAATTATAATGTTATCAACAAATAGGTCATATTGTCTCTCATGGATAGTTGGGCTAATTTTTTTTTGGGGACAACATTCCCAACTGGAAATCACTCGTTTATAAGGAATTATATTATGTAAATTTGCGAATAGACGATGCAAGGTGTCGAGTGCGATATTATTTAAGAACTACAAAAATTTAATGCGAAAAGTATCCGCATTATGTTTAGGTCCGTACTCAGATATTTGCTTCTCCTTATCACCAGACACCTTATCTCGTCTACCCCCGTCTGTATTCTCGATTAAACGAACTGGCATAAGCTTTATCTTCAAAACCAATTTGATATAATATAGGATTGTTCCAAAAATTTCAGATAAAACAATGGTTATTTTCTTTGTACTTAACATGATTCAAAAGAGTGATTTCTGTATCTGGGACATCAATAGCTTTTTTTTGCACCATTCTGAATTCTAGACTCTATTACCCAGTTCTTTTCAATACCCAAACTGCAACGAAAGATCTCCGCTGAAGATAGTATGGGTGTCAGGAAATCTCTGATTTCCGGCGCGACGTCTGTGGATAATGTTATTCTAACGTCACTTTTGAGTTTTTTTTTCGAGAAGAATACTGTGGGCAAGTTTTTCTCTGACTCAACCATGAAGGGGAAATAAGAATGGTGCACAGAAATACAAAAAGAATCTCTTTTGAATCTTTTAACCTGGTGGTATGGTTCCCTAAATACACATATTACATGTGAATCAAGTTTATATAAAAATAAATGATATCACTTTTTAGTATCAGGGTCTCGTTTCTCGAAAAATCGTACGATCAATTTCTGTCGTATGTGTAAAATGTGAGATCTTCTGAGAAGCTCTTGTTTGAAATGCATTAATGAATATAAGCCAACATAGACAAATAGACTAAACCAATAAGTCACCTTTTTGGCGTCTTGAGAATTGAAGAATTGTTAATGTTCTATATAAAAAATGGTAAAGGAAAATTTTTTTTTTGTCTTTTGAAAGTTCTTTTTTTATGTTCTAAATTCCAAGCCCATAAACTTAAGTGTCAGATGTTGATGAGAACAAAGCATTATAAAACAAATCGCAAGTTAAGAAAATTTGAGGTCTACGCCATCTATTAATTACTGTAACGAGTGTCGCCATCGCTCTGACTGAATATATTGATATTTTATTGAGAAAGTTCAAATTGGGACAATTCTAATACTGGGTATAAGTGATATCACATACAGACATGTATTCCGCGACAAACAACATGACGTCACACTGTTAAATGCACACCATACATCACGAACTCTCATCACGAATCATATTATAGTTTATAAGTTACAACACGTATGTCACAACTGGGCGTTAAACTGATCACATTATTGCTCAAATCACTGGATGATAACGACATATTTTGTCAATCATAAAATGAACGATGTACTTGTATGCGAACTCAAAATCTGTTGAACACAACAGCAAGGCCCGAATTCTCAACAGCTACATTTATCATTAAGTGCACCAATATATACGCAACGATTCAGACTCCCTAATCAACAATCATCACTGCTGAGTTCACCACTACTGACATTCAGCTCTGTTCGTTCATCAATACCTAATCTATTGTTATTGTTATTGACATGATTGGTATTATTGGTATTGGTATTCGTCGATGCTCGTCGCGACGTTTCGTCCTCTTTTGATATTGATCGTCGAAGTTCAAAATACACTTTGTGTCCGTTTCGTAACGATTGTTTTGTTACATTGACAGTTTGATTTTTGCGCACAGCATTTTGTCTTTGTACCCGTGTGTCGTTGGTGCTCACACTATATCTTCTTGTCGCTATTCGTTTTAGGCATTTACAGCATGGGAACCAGAGATAACATATTGATGCCAAATCAGCCTGAAAAGATAAATGAATGAGCAATATTTAAAAAAATATTAATAGCTGCTGAAGCAACTTTACGTTTGGATTTGTCAACTGTGCATGTACGAGGGTTGGTTGAAAAGTATTAAGCCTAAGTGTGATAACTCTTAATTGGATAACGTCCCGTGACAATAAAATATATGCCTATGAATATACAACCCGCTTGGATATTCCAAACTACCACTTGCTTCCCAAAACGAAGCCAGTCCTCGTACCTTATAGTAATAGTCAATAATGTTTGTATTTGCCATATATATTTGTAATCACGACGAGACCTTACATACGTCTCATAATTTTGGAACTTAACATGGATATTTTCTTTTGCATTGTATGTATTATTTCTAAATTTTTTGTCTCTATTGTTCCTTTCATTACTTTCTATGAAAAAATATTTTTGAACATTTTAAACATTCTGAAAATTTCATGTTGCATGCAGTTTGTCTTATTTTGGTCTCTTACGTCAGAGATGCTGGATCCCTTGTTGTTCTTTTTAAATGAAAGTAACTTCCCGACTGATATGAACCTTTTTCTATAAAAACAATCGGTGACGCTGTCAAAATTGAATATGAATACTTACCCGAAAACTTTCATTTAAAAAGCCATAAATAATTGGATTAGCAAAACTATTGGACATGGCTAACCAATGAACACAATAATAAATAGCAGTAAACATTTCTTCTTGAGCTGTGGTCTTGTAATTGAGCAACTCGGGATTAAAATCTATGACGAGGAAGAATGTATGTAGAGGCAACCAGCATAAACCAAACATCAAAATGATTATGATTAACATTTTAACGACCTGAAATCATAAAGTCAATCATTTTATTTCTGTACAATCAATGGAGCAGTAAAAAATTGGTAAAGAACATTCAATGTAGGAAATTAGTCCTAGTTAACGGACCTCCCACTACAGGTCCATCAGCTGACAGGTCGGCTTCGGCGTCTTTTGAGGATTTTCATGGAAAAATTGAAGATTCTTCCAGGATAATTGACTTGGGTCTCAATGTTTTATGACAGCACATGTATTGTATGCAGTCAATTAGAGTGTGTAGCATGATTATATATCCTTATATATCCATGATTAAATGTGATCAGTTTGAATAAAAATTATAAAATTTACAATGTTTTGAATGTCAATTGTTTTGGGGGTGTGAGGGGTTCAAATGATTACTCCAGGGGTGTGGAGGCTGAAAAAGGTTGGGAACCACTGCCATAGAATAATTCCAATAATCGACAGGAACAATTTGATTTGATTCGCAGATTATAGTCAATATGCGATACTCCTTAAATTGAAGCCGTGGATCAGACGATCAAAAGATGCCATAAAGTGGCACCCTCCACTTGCACCACTCTGTTTGTATTTTTCTCAAGTTTAAGAAACGTACCAAATGTTTACAATCAGTAATACAGAGTAAACTGCACCCTTTGTAAAACCATTTTCCATAGGTCCGTTAGGATACCGGTTTAGAGGGATTTCACTGTACTCGAGTTAAGTTAATCTCCTTTATCAATTCTTGTATAAATCAAATTTCGAAAATAGCTTCGCAAGGTTTATTCCTAGATGTAATTTGGTTTAATGTCCTTTTTATGCATCTGATTGCTGGTGCTGGCTAATTAATGCAAATAACAGCACGCAATCTTATCAGGATAGTCACAAAAAGGAATCCAATTTTTCTTGCCATCGTGGATTTGACTGTATATATGTAAATATAGAACATCCTGAAAGCTGATTTTTTTCCAACTTCCTCGAAAAATTGGATATAAAAAAATAGCATTTTAGTATACAATTGAGCTTTCCTTAAAGAATATAGTAATAAACCTCCAGGCTTTTTTCGAGCGTGATGATCTGTGGCACTCGTGAGGTACAATATAGTTCTTACGTTATGTACCATACATTGCTATAGTAAATTATATTACACAGTTACGTGACAAACAAATAAAAGATCAAAATCTCATATCAAACCAAACACACGACCATATAAAAATAGAGCAACATTTGCTATAACCTCTAAATTGGAATAACCGACACTGTCTAATATGTACAAGTGACATTGCGTGATTGAGAAACCTTTGAAAGGATTTATATACCATCTAGTCGGAATGGATAAATAATTTCGGAATTAAACTTTATTAAATGTCTGAAATTAACGGGATATTTCCGTTTACCGGTTACATTGAATTTCCATCTTGGTAGATTTTACGAATAAACCATGTCTAGACCTCTTCCTAACATACGTTACACCGGGTTAAGAGCAATACTTTAACCTCACGGAATTCCATACAAATATACCATTGTAAAACAAACAACGTGCACATAATATAACCAACCGTTAAAGGGACATATTGGGGGTTGATTTGAGTCTTGAATATATGTATATGATCTTCACAAGTACTATAAATGTACGAAAATCGCAATTGCGGATAATTCTGGACACACATGGATTTGAAGGCTCAAATTTTGATGGTGAGCTGTGACCACTTTTACTGGTTAGTTTAGCTAAAAAAAAATCCATTTCTGAGACTAAAGTATGATTGGTATAAAATGGCATATAATGTACAGATGAAAGAACACGACCATAAAACATGAAAAAGCTTGTTAACTCAACAAAGTCATAATATGCCCATGTTAACTAAACAAGCTCATAATAAGCATCTTTTAACTCAACAAGCTCATAATAAGCGTCTTTTTACTCAAGCAATTCGTAACATGTCTCTGTTAAGTCAAGCTCATAAAATTTCCCTGTTAACTCAATAAGCTCATAACATACCTCTGTTAATTCAACAAGCTCATAATTTATCTGTGAACACATCAAGCTCATCAAATATCCCTGTTAACTCAATAATCTCGTAATATTTTTCTGTTTAGTGATCAAGCTCATCTGATACCGAGAACAAGCTCGTTATTTACCGAAGGTAACTGTACAGGTTCATATTATAATTTTATAACGAAAACATTAAGGGGGTATCTCTGCCTTTAAATGACACAAATTCATAGAAACTATAAAAAGTACAATAGAAGACAAACCGAATCAAATTACCACAGAAAACATTTATTTCGATATTTATTCAGTCCCCAGGACTAGACAATTTATAGTCAGGACATATTTCAATAAAACGTGATGCCAATTTCATGTTGACCTAAGCCCTGTGATTAAACAGAATTACTGGCCATTAGTAAATACATAATTTTATCATAGGTCATCGAGACTTCCGATTATTCAAGTATTACGTTAGTAGCGTCATCCATTTGACTAGGATTACACTACATGAGAGCTATGTACACATAAACATCTATTAGGGCTTTATTTTAATGTCAAGCAAAGTTTGTTTATACACAGAGCTCGAAATTTCAAAATTTTGGACAATCGAACTCCGATGTTGAAAAATTCTGTCGAATTGTAATAGCCAAAGTTAAAGCGACAGATTTTCCATTTTCGGGGCTTGATTTGAACATATTAATATAGTCTTCAGAACTACCAGAAATGTACGAAATTCATATAATTTCTTCAAAAATACCTCAAACTAGGAATTTCACTTTCTATTTATATATATATATCTTTTCTTTATATAGAATGCGGGTAAGTCTGGACACACATGGATTTGAAGGCTCAAATTTCGACGGTGAACTGTGAACACTATTACTGATTGGTTTAGCTAAAAAGAAATAATGTTTCTAAGACTAAGGTACGATTAGTCAACAATCTGACGAACCTTTCCCTTTAATGTGAACAGACAGACGTAAGATTTCAGTTCAGATTTCCAACTATTTTGTTAGAATTGTTGAGGGTTGTTAAGTTTACGTGTAAAACCCCATTTTATTGTCCTAACAAACTACTGGAGGCCTTTTCCATGCCAAGCCGATTTCTCTAATGGGTTGAAAAATGTCCGTGATCGAGTCTAAACCCCGGCGTTTCATTGAATTCGGAGGTCAAGGTGTTCTTAAATCCCGTCTGAGACCTGACATTGGCCACCTACATAATCTTACTGTATTCACTCAATATTAATAATAGTGATTTTATCGATAATTATATTTATTAATAAATCATTATCACTTAATCAATAAGTCGGGTAATTACCTGACTGTAGTAAATATATGTAAACTATTATTACTTTAATAAAGGCGCATCATCTCCTACTTTTTATATTAAAATCTTTTACTTTAGAAGCTGGTGGGTGACAGTCTTCACAATCAAGGTGGCATTGCAACTGCTATGCCAATCTCCAAGCTCCATCTATACCCTTCTCCTGGTAAGCATTAGTCTGTATGAGGAGACGCTGCAGGTTGTTCTTACCAAGTAACTTCCAGATACAACTACCATCTTCGAGAAGGCAGCAATTAGAGCTGTCTAAGATATATCTATGGGGATCATGTCTCCGCCCGATCTTGAAATAGTCAAACGTGTGTTTAAGAACACAGGCAATATTTCCTGATATAAAATTTTGATTTTATATAATGTTTATCTTTGGATGAGAAACAATTGCATCAAGTTTTGTCACAATCTCTCAAGACTATTGTGTCTTTTAGAGTGTTTTCGGGCGTTTCAAAGATATAATGGATCTCGTCCAAAGACGCCCACTGTCGAATGGAGTAGGTAGGTAAAACGAGAAACTTTCAGTAAAGTTTTAACGATTAGTTGGAAACTAAAAGAGCAATAGCATTATCAATATACTAGAGCACAAGAGTTATGCGCTCGTTTACCAGGAAATGCCATCCGTCAAACGTGAGGTAAATAGTGTCGACTATATACCTCCATATTATGATGTGGGCAAAGATATGTCAAAAAGTCTTAATAAAACATGCATTGTTCAGCTTTGTACTCTTCACCTGTGCTCAGATAAAAAGAGTGGTTTTTCATCTTCTTTTAATTTTTGATATGGCTCATTCCCTGCCGATTATTAATATCAGCAAGTTTCGTCAAAAACTGTCAGAAAATAATATTCGCAAAGATCTTCCTAAAAACTTCTTCATTTCTGACAGAAACTTACTATTCAGTTGTAGGCAAATCGGCGTCTGATTTTAATTGGATTACATTGGAAACAAGTGCTTCTTTCATTTGAAAATCTTCCAGTAATGTTGAAATGGTAACAGTCATGATGTGTAGTGATCCTTAAAAGAGACAGGTTTAACCAATAATTGTACCTTAGTCTCAGAAACGGGATCAGGATAGCATTACAACTCGTAGTCGAAATTTGGGCCTTCAAGTCCTTGCGTGTCCAGAATTATCTGCGATTTTTAAATTAAAATTACGACTTGTCTTTTCAGATTTCTAGTTTGAGGTATATTAGACGGGATTATGTAGTATTTCGTGCAGTTTGGGTACTTCTGAAGACTATTTTTTAAGACCTAGATCAACCCCCGAAAATTGGCGAACATGTCCTTTAAAGGGGAAGTATATAATCTGCAAAATAATAAAAGGTGTGTGAAAATTCTGTCTTCTTTAATAAACAGATGTATCAATTTTTGTTAAAATTGTAGAATCTTTTCTTAGTTTTACCATTAATGCCAAAAGAAAGAGCAAGTTTTGTTTAATGAAATTCATATGCTCGTATTTTCTTTTTTATTTTTCACCGTTACATTCAGTTTGAGCTGTTTTTGTACTATGATAATATATTAAAATATGCAATGTCAATTAGCCATTGCCATTTTACAGACTTAAGGAGAAGTTATAAATAAAATGGTCTTATCTAATGTATGAATAATATATCATATAATTTCTTTGAAACTCAGAAGTATCCACTCAGAAAGATAGATAACTTTATAGTAGTAATTGAGCAATAAATATCAAAAAAGGTTGTTAG